CTCTCTCTCTCTCTCTCTCTCCATCCCCCTCCCACACCGAAATGCTACAATAGAACCCAGGGCTTCTTACATGCTAAGCAAGTGCCCTTCCCAAACTACATCCCCAGCCCTTTTAATTTTATTCTGAGACAGTCTTGCCATGTAGCCTAGGCTGGCCTCAAACTTGAAATCCTCCTGTCTCAATCTCCCACGTAGTTAGAAAGAAATTATCCTGCCAAAAAATATGTGTAACTACTACATAAACATTTATCAACTGCTAGCAATTTCTAGGTGGTACACAGAAGGTGTTCAAACACTTAGCCATTGCCACTGGGCGCTTACAGGGAAGCAAGATCAGTGCATTACATATGTGTGACCATGACCCAAGAAAAGGGTTGTGATGGTGCCCACAGAGACACCTCCCCTCTCAGCACCAGGACAGATGTGTAACAGCATGAAGATGAGATGAGCCCTCCCTTTTAGCAAACCTTACAAGTGCAGAAATTCCTGAGACATACAGATATGCGGATATGTGTACATGTACATGTAAGGTAGCATTTCTTACATGCGAACACTATACAAAATGTTTTCATAAATATAAATATTATATATGTGTGTGTGTTCAACCATATGTATTTGTATACGCACACAATCGAACATATGCACAGGTTTACCCTGACCCATACGTGCATGTGCACACAGATCATTGGTGTGAAGATGCGGGTAAACACAGTCATGTGGATACATGGATATACACAGAGAGATTAGGACAATTTCCTACTACACCTCTCTAAGAAATTTACACATACTCAAAATTATGAAAGAAACTTCCCTTGCATTTTTTGAAGGCAAAAAACTATATCCATATTTCCCATATTACCTTTGTTCATACTGTGCTAAAATATGAAGACATAAGCATTACCCCTTGCATGTCACTCTTTTAAGCTATATTGTTTTTATTTTGTTTTGGTACTGGGGATTGAACTCAGGTCGTTGCACTTGCAAGGCAGGCCACCAAACCGCTGAGCTAAATCTCCTGCCCATTAAGCTATATTGTTTAATACCTATATGCTTAGCGAGTTTTTAATGCCGATACTACCTGTAAGCATTGGTGAATTTTTCACAGTGACATCCTCTTTTTAGAATTAATGAAAATAGAAATGCTAAGCAAAGAAATAAAAGAATTTCCATATAAAGGGAAAATCAGCCTACATTTTCAGTGAATTCCGTCACCATAACTCCTGGACTCCCAGGGACTGAGAATATTAAAATCTGTGCTGTGTGTTACCCCAGAGAGGCCTCTCTCCCCTGAGTTAGCTGCATGGTGCTCAGCACCAGAGCCAGAAGCCAATTACTCCAGCCATGCTAGTTTCCCAAAGCAGGGTGGATTCTGCTACTCAATGAGTTCATTCTCATTCTCTTTTAACCAGGAGAACACTAAAATCACTCTCATTCAGTCACTGTAAAGATTATATGTGTGTATGTGTGAAATTATCTATTAAATTTAGATAGGTGATAGAATTAAATAGATTTGTTACCAGAACATCAGGACCATGTCCCATGGTGGTGAAGAAGGAAACCATGGATGAAAGAGGTAGGGTGCAAGGCAAATTTACTTAAAAGCCATCTAGGCAGGGGAGTAGAGCTCCTGCTAGCCGGGAGGGATTTCTGAGCAAGACACCCAGGAGGACTCTGTCTAGGCATTTTTAAGAGGTTTGGAAGAGAGCTATAGCCATCGTGTAAGCAATGTGCTCCCTACCCTGTAGGAGTCTACACACCTCTCAGGGTTCAATCTACACAGTGTTCATATGGTGCCCCCTTGAGCCCATGTCCCTTCTGACTGTGCTCTAGCAAGGTCCTGGATAGTCAGAGAACACCTGGAAGATGCACTTGTAAGATTCCTGGAAAGTTCTGATGCAGCACACTACATTTTGGGCTTCCTGACTCCATTTCAGGGCTGCTATACTTAGTTGATAACAGAACCCTAACTCCTGTTACAGATTGATTAGATCTATCATGTGATTCTTTATATTCAGAGATAGCTCATTTGACAAAGCACAACCTTCTATTTGCCTTTGCAAAAAACAGGATTAGAGTTCAGGTCTTCTGGTCCAGGTTCATAACTTTTCGCCACACCATTCAAGCCTTACTACAGGTGACACGAACATGGAGTTCACAGGGAACCCAATTGGCATAATACCTACACCGTAGAGGTGAGGGACATGATCTTAAAAGCCAGATCAGATCTCTTAGCATGTTTCCATTGTCATTTCTCTAACTTGTGCCACCCCATAGCCTGGTGCAGGCCAGTCGTAAGGTCCCAAGATAGCTCCTGGCACCTGCTGTAGCCAGTCCCCAAACTCTGTATGCTAACCAGACATTTGCTTTCTTTCTTCTTCTTCTTCCTGCTGATCAGAGGAAGAGTTGTTTTGCTTAGTCTATGTATGCTGTAATATAAAAGATGCAATGTGAAATGCACACTCTATGAAAGACATTTCCCCACCCTTCATGATTTTTAACACATCTGAGATACTCTCATCCTAAGTTCTTGCTGGAATCTCTCCACATACATGTGATCATTTCTCAGAAACTGTCTCCATATATTTAATTCCACCAGATGACCAATACAATTTTAGTTTCCTATTTCATCTCTTTTTCATGAGCCTCTTATTCCTGCAGGGGATAAATCAAATCCAGTTGTTATTCTGCCCATGAATATATTTGTTCCCTATAATCCCAGCCCTGCTGTTATTTCCTCACCATCCTCCCACCTGCAGAACCATGTCTGGATAATTTTCCTAGCATGCCTTTTTTGCCTAATACTTTTACCATTTATAAGCCATATGTAGTAACTTTCAAGAAATAGAAATCAAGTTATGTGTTGAGTTGATTAAATATCATCAGTTGAGTCAAACAGTTAAAGTTTGCGTCCAGGAAAATACTGTCCCCCAAGAGAAATTGATTTTTATAATTTTTCTTAGCTCCAATATATCAATTTACACCATTCAATTTATCTCTTTCTCCACAAACAAATAATCATATAATTATAATGTCTGCCTTCACTACAGACACACACACACACACACAGATATACACATATACACACTGCTGATAGATAATTTCCAAATGCTGGTACTTTCTCTACCATAGTCCTTTATAAGTAGATTTGATCTTCAAAATCTGTGGCTGCACTCCCAAGACTGGTGGTAAAAATTACCAGTGGCGACAGCCAAAGCCCATTGGATGACCCAGCGTCCATACCAGAGCAAGCAGCAGCATTCAGCCTCAAGGTGTCACCTCCCCACTTGTTTTACAGCCACTGTGAACTTCAGCAAAAACACAACAAACACAACCTGGAGAAATCACATCTCTCACCACCACCCAGGATTCACTAACTGCCCCTATTTGTTCACTCTGACCGGGAGGATCACTGAAAACATAATCTCATTTGTGAAATAAAAATTGTAGGATGCAAAATCAACACTTTGAAAAAAGATTTAAACACTTTGCTTGAAAGCTTCTGAAAATTAATCATTGCATTCCACAGAGAAATAAACACAGCACAGACATTTGTAAATACAGTATCCTAGATCATATAAAAGGCTGTTTCAGCAATCTACTGCATACGAACTACAAACAAAGACATAGGGAATGTTTAAATTTTTAAAAACTTAATAAAGTAAAAGACAAGTTGCCGTCAATTGCTCTCAAGTCCCATCCTCCCCACGCACACACCCCACTTAAACACATTTTTCCTGTTGCTCTTGCCATTTTTCTGAAGTGGTTCTGGAAGTCCTTTTCTTGAATGTCTTTGGGAGGTATGATCAAAAATATGGTAAACGCCACTGCTGAGTGCCATCCTAAGGAAAGGTGGCTTGTATAGCCGAGTGTCCTCACCCACCTTTATTCACCAGCCCTGGCTCCATTTGACTTCCAGCCCTTCCTCAGAAAGGGAAGCAGGTTCAACCGATTGAAGACACCAAGGCCACCGTGACAGCACAACTGCCAATACTCAAGAAAGAAGTATTCCAGAAATGTTTCAGAAAGAGGCAAGAGTGAAGTGAGAGTAGAATCTTTTGAGGGGTATTAATGGCAAATATGTCTTTTACTGTAACTTTTTAAAACTGTGAACATTCACCGTGTTTTATCATACCTGGTATCTCTATGAAATTTAAATATAGTTCATATGTTGACACAGCAAACACAACTCACCTTCCTTCCTTCCTTCCCCTCAGTAAACAGCAATAATACAACTGATGCGTTGTAACTGTAAAAAACTTGCACTGTGTGGATCGAAGTAAAAGTGCCACACGTCGGCCAGCTCCGTTATGATAGACACACAGTAGCTGTATTAATGTGTTACAAAGTGAGGGTAACCATCTAAACTTTATAAATACCCAAACCTTTACTAAAAGCAGCTTCTATATGAAATTTAAATGGCATAAAATACTCCAGAGAAAGGTTCCATTCCAACACCCTGGGAAGAGGAACAGTACTTTCAGATGACATGAACTAAGTGAATACAGGGAAGGCTTTTCCAGAACCCTGAACGCCTGTCACTTACTCACACAGTCCAACAGCATAATAGAATCCACAAGTAGTTTTTCTGCTACTCAAGGTGAAAAAGCAGAAAAGTAAATGAAGCAATATAAAAATGAAAAAACCAAAGAAGACAAAGGAAAAGTACCACAAAACCACTCATGATAATCATCAAAATGACTTGAGAAACCAGCTGAAGTCTGGTGCTTTTAAAAAAGTCTCACTATTGTTACAGGTAAGCCCTATCATTAGAATTTCCTCAGGATTCTGTAGATAACTGGGACCTTAGCTTCTCAGGCCCCTCCCACTGTGGCTTCAGGATAAGTAGGAGGCACACAGAGAAGGCTTGGGCTAGTTCCCCGGGGGACACGGTAGGATGAGACACCACTGTCATCCTGCCAGCGTGACTTCCAGGCAGTTCTCCTCTGCCTCTGGGTCGGTCCTTCCCTTCTCTCCTCCTCTAGAAGAAAACAGGGAGGGGCCGCGAACAAAGCTCACACGTGCTGAGTAGCTCTTCCTTCACTAACACCAAACTTTGGCCTGAAAGAAGCTTCCAGAATACAAATACCTACATCCCTTAGATGGGTTTTATTTCAATCAACATTCATGCCAAAGGAAGTTCTTTGATATGCAAAATGTCTATGCTAGCGAATGATAAAAATAATTTTTCCCCATCAAAAACAAAAACAAAAACAAGAAACCCAAATCTTCCCTTCTAGGAGGTTAAAGAAAATTGCAGATCGGAAAATGTTAATGTACCTATTGTAAAGAAGAAGAAATTGAGGGGCAATAATTAAACACATAAAATGATCAGAAGAACTGGTACCTATAAAGTCCTGGGGAGAGCTAGTATTTCATGGTCTTTCACAAAGTAACCCTCATATTTTCAAAAAAAAGTATTTCAAAACTTTATAGGTGGAGAGCATTAAAAGCACATTGTATCAATGAAGTTTCACACATTGAACATCTTAGAAATATAATTTTAAATGGAAATTTCAAAATATCAAATAGAATTGTGTACTGAGTTGAGGTGCTTAGTTTTAACATCCTTTCCACAATATGACATTATACAGTTAGCCCACTTTAATTTTATAAAATCTTCATTTGTATCACATAAAATTTGGTGTACAGATCTTCCAGTTTTAACTATAGTTTAAAGTTTTTGTGAATATGTACAATTAACAGAATAAAATTAGGCAAGCAAATTATTAGTAGTAAGAAAAAATAAAATACACATTTTTGGTTTCATTTGTTGGTGGCCATTTTAACTTAGAAGTCTATAGCTCCTGCTAACAAGAATAACTGCTACTTTAAAATAGTAAATCAGTCTCTAACATGAGTCAGTGAATGTATATGTGTGTAGATATCTGGGTAGAGGAGAAATGAAAGAAATTCTCTGACAACGTATTTTTTTCATTCTTAATTTTTCTCCAAGAGTCTGTTTTTAAATTAGCAGCAGAAGCAAATGTCCAAAAAGGAGACTTTAAACTAAATCTTGATTTGCCCCACGTGGTGGTATGGTATTTTTGGGCCTACATTACCTGCCTGGACTCTACAATGTGCCATGAAAGGGAAACTGAGGCATTGTTTTCCTGGAGAATTGGGTCCTTGATAGACCCTTAGATGAGATGGGAACATGTTGGTATCTGGAGAAATCCCAGGAGTTTCTCACAGAACATCACAAGCATAAGGCTACATTCCAAAAAACAAGTCAGAAGGTACATCAACTTATTCTATGTTGATATCTTTAAAACAAGATGGAGAAAAATGTCAGTGGCTACAGTCTGTTTAGTGATGTAATTGAATATGCCGTCCAACAACTAAAAAGAGTAAGCCAGCCAGCAAGGAGAAAAATATTCCTGCCGGGGCCACAAAAAATGACCAGCCAAACAGGACAGACGGGGTGAACTCCAGACAGTCCTTCAGCTTCTCATTCCGATAGCTCTCGAAGTCTGCCACCAGCTGGACCCAGATGGTATACAGCAGTACCACCATGACAAACAGGATGCCTGGGGAGGACAAGAGAGAACTTAGTGTGTCACATGCTTCAGAGACATGTGCTTACTTACCTTCACACATCACTTACCTTCAATTTCCAAAGCATTGTGGGGAGGGCTGTATCTATCAGCATAAGAACAATAGCAAGAGTTGACACATTTATTGAGTGCTTACTGTGTGCCAGCCACTGTGTTAGGTATCTGTGTCAAAGATCCTAGTTTTGCACAGTTGTACTCTAACACATATTCATTGATTTTTACTATATGACTAGTTTAGGGTGAGCTTATTTTAAATAAATCAGTGATATATGTATTCTCATACACAAAACATACACACGCAAACACACCAGTTTTAAATACACATGGACACAGTGGTGCAGAGCTGATTTTGAGTCCAGGTCTTTCTGTCCCTCAGGCTGTAATACCCAGCTCAGTAGAGCTCCAAATAAATAGAATCATAAAAACAGAAATTAAAGATGGAGAAGGAAATGTTGCATACACACAAAGAAACATTCTGTGATGCTGTAAACCTGCAGCATAGATATGATGGCTGGCCATAGCATATGCAAATTGTTTTCATTTGTGTGGTTTTGGGTGGTTTTATTTGAGACAGGGTCTTATTAGGCAGTGCAGGCTGTCCTTAACTTGCTATGTAGCCATGCTGGTCTAGAACTCACAGCAATCCTCCTGCTTCAGCCTGGATCCTCTTGTACCACCACACCTGGCATGGAAATGGTGTCTTGAGAAAGTGAGGAAAGAAGATTGATGATAAAAGATTCTTGAGGATATGAAACCACAGATTTGATATCAAGAGGCTTTGTAAGAAAAAGAAGACAGGAAAGAAGAGGTTTTAGTCAGTGCTTCTGCTGCCTGCCTCACAAACACAAGGTCCCAAGTTCAATCCCTAGTACCAAAAAAAAAAGAAAAGCAAAAATAAAGACAGACAGACAAAAGAAAGAAAGAAAGAAAGCAGGAAAAGGAAGGAAGGAGGGAGAGGAAGGGGGAAGCAAAGATGAATAAATAGCCAGAAGGCAATATCAGAATTTATCAACAACTCCCAGGTAAATGTAATTCAAAAGTTAAAAACACCATTGGAATTCCAAGATCAGAGAAAGTACTGCAGAGTGGACACTTGACCTTTATATGTAGATATGTCAGAAAAGCATTGTAAGTCCTGAAATTTGCATGTTACTGCTCTGTAATCATGGGAAGAGGTCATCATGTCTGTTGATTGACTAGTGAGTGGCAGGCCCTCACACCAACCATAAAGCCCAAATAACTAAAATTTGCCCCAAAACAAAATAATCACTTGTTCTTTGTACAAAAGTTCAATTCAAACACACCAAGGATATAATTCTTATTGAATTAATGAAGTGAAACATAGATATTGAGTTAGTTTTCCATCTCTGTGAACATAAAACCTGAGAAATTTCTATGGAGGAAAGATTGATTTTGGCTCATGGTTTCAGGGGTTTCCATTGATGGTCATATGGTTCTGTTGTTTTGGGAGCCTTGTGAGGTCAAACATCATGGTGTGAGCAGATGATAGAAGAAAACTGCTCACTTTGTGATGTTCTGGAGATAAAAAAAAAAAAACAAGAAGATAGTGAGACAGAAAAGGTCAGCCCTGCCACATCCCATGCAAGGGCCCAGGGACCTAACTTGCTTCCACTGGCCCCACTCTAAGGATTCTGCCATATCCCAACAGCACCACAGGCTGGGGACCAAGCCTTTAACACCTAGCCTCTGGGGACATCTCATATCCAAACTATAGAAGACAGGGGCCAGGGATTTAGCTCAGTGGTTCGGCCACCTGCTTCACAAGCACAAGGTCCCAAATGGATCCCCGGTACAAAAAGCAAACAAACAAAAAAAAAAGCCAAACATACAAAAAAATCAAACTATAGAAGACATGTTCCAAGTGCTATAATACCTGAAAAGCAAATGCAGCTCCAGGAGCAGAAGAACAGAACTTGAGGCATATTGGTAGATGAAGCAGCTTTGAAGACCTGGGCATCTATCAAACTTTTTATGCCATTTGTGCTTCTGCTCTACTGAGGACACTTCCTCCCTCTTGGGCCATCACATCTGTCACAGTTTACCTCTAAATATCCCCTAAAGCCTCATGCCATCATAGGCAGGGGCTTTGGAAAGTGATTGGATTATGAGGGCTTACAGCTGGCTTGCTGTTAGGGCAAGGGGCTGGTCAGGAGAGGCAGTCACTGGGGTATGACCTGGAAGGTTGTAGCTCCCTTGTTGACTCCTGTCTTGATTCTCTGCTTTCTGTCTGCCCTGACTCAGCTCTCCTCCTTCCTGCCCCTGGGCCAGGCCCTCCTGCCTCAGAGTCAGAAGACCATGCAAGGACTGAGACTACTGAAACAAAATAAATCTCTCCTCCTTTAAGTTGCAGGTGTACAGTATTTTGTCTCAGCAATGAGGAAGGTAAGACACCATCATGAAGAAACAGGAGGAGTAGAGGCAGAAGAAGGGTTCACGAGAATGTCAAAGTGAGGCAGCACCTTAGCCGCACCTTCTCTACCAGGTTACAGTGCAGAACCATCACAGAAGCTTCACTAATAAAAAAGCACCCTTCCTAGTGTGGTCTGTTGTGCACTGCAAGGCAGCATATACCTAACAGAATGACAGGGCCACTGCACCCCAACTGCGGCACGGAGAACCAGGCAAACCACAGCCAGCAAGCCAACACTCTGCAAGCATCCTTAAGAAGTTGATGACAGCATGGCCTTGCCATGCGGTGTCCAGCAATCCCTGCCTGCCAGTACATCTTGCAGCAAATGCATACATAGTGGGCCCTGATAACGTCAAGGCTGGTGGAGGCATTTGCATAATGTCCTTTGCCTCCTGCAAGCACCTTGCAAACCTTTGTATTTGTTGGTATGGTTTTTAATCTTCCCTGCATCATGTGAATCTTATTCATTCTGATACTTTTATGAAAAAAAAAAAAAGAAATTGCCTTTGTGCAAAATCAATAGCCTCATACACATCTTTCCAAAAATTGCAAAACCCATTACTGAATTTGGAATATTAAAAAATGTACCATGGGTAATCATGTAGATGATCCTTAATAAGGAAGAGTTAACATATTTAAACACTGCTGTTATTTGAAGAGGAATTACATCAGGAAAGCACTGAAGGATAGTCGCTTCTGCTACTATAGCCTCTCACTTGTTCACTAATGGAAGATTCAGTCCATTTAATTTGTATCAAATCAGCTTATGATTGTATCTCATCCAGGGGGTAAAACAGTCAGTGCCTCCCTACCCATTAAATGATAAATGGGGGATTACGGGGGCAGCAAAAGAGCTAACAAATGTGGAGAAAAGTTCTTGCACTAAAGGATAATGCTGTCACTGATAAGGCAGCAAGAATTTATCATGGGGACCAGTATGGGATCTGTGGGCAAAGAAGAGCCAAGAAGCTGCTACCTACAAGAGTAACAGGAAGTAAATCACTGGGGCCAACTGGATATGAAAGTCTCACTGCAGGAAAATCCAGCTACCAACATGAAAAGGATGGGATGCTAGAATCAGCCCTATTTTGATAGAAATTGAATGTGTCAATGTGAATTCATGACGTTCAATAAATAGATAAATACTAGAAAGAGATAGATAGATGGTAGATAGATACCTGAGAAGCAAATACAGAAGTGTGAGTTTGAGTGTGTTCATTTGAATATACACATGTCTGTGTACACCCAAATATAGTTCCTGGCTCAATTCCCTGAGAAGGGTTGGAGTATCAATACTCTATCAACACAGAGCTGACCGACTGTCCAGATCTTGGCTTCTAAATACTAGGAACAAGGACCTCCCCAACAAAGGGCCAAATCCAGGCTGGGCGTGAAGTTCACAATGAGCAGGCAGAGCTGCACTCAAAGAGCCTTGGGCTAGACAAGGCCTCCTGCAGTCCAAACTGAGACAATCTGATCATCAGAGGAAACACTGATCATGTCCTATTATATCTCTGTGAATGAAATAGTAGCTCACAGCAATAGACACAGATGAATAAAGAAATAAATAAATGGGAGAAGGGCAACCTTTCCATTACAATAGAAAACCAAATTGTAAGTGTAGAAGGAAGCACAGAATCACTATATGGCAACCATTTAAGCAACAATTCAAGTAAGAAAAATGGATGCTAAAACTAGAGTATGAAATTTGGACAAATGAATGGATGCTTATATAGTCTCAAACTTTCTTTGCACACAATTTTATAGTAAAGCAACCCAGGAAATACCACCTCATTCAAGTGATTGAGGCTAACATCACCAATGCCATGACAAATGGATGTCACATGTCACTTGTCAAGGTGTAGTAAAATGAATACAGCCTCACTGCTATGATATTACAGCCAACAGTAAAGAATTTAAATCTAATCATGAAGAAACATCTAGCAAATCCAAACTTAAGACCATTCTACAAAGTCATAGGCCTGTACTTTTCAAACATGTCAAAGCCATGAAGGTCTGAGGAGTTGTGCTGTGTTGATGGAGATACCAATGACACAACAAGTAATCACAATGCATGGTCCAGGATTAGATCCTTTCATTATAAAAGATATTAAGGGGACAGTTAGAAAAACTTCAGTGGAGTCTCTGGCTGAAAGTATTTACAACTTGTATGTAAATTTAAAGATATTCCAAAATAAAAACCAAAATAAATGACTTGAAAAAAAGTGTGGGAAAGGCTGTAGCCATGTGTGTTGAGAAAAGCTGAGAGGTAAGGAAGGGAGAAGGGAAATACGCGTGCTCCCCAGACAAACACATCTCCCTTCAGGGGAACATGAACAATAATATCATCGATTTTGCCTGCAGCAACTTTATTAGGACAGAAATATCAGTATGGGAATTCTTCTTCCTTGATATCTTAAGACTCTCATTTACAAAACTGTACACTATTATGTGCTTCAGTAACAAATGAGTTACATTTCAAAGCTATTTGCCATCGTGATTTTAGCAGGCACAGAAAATACTGAAAATGTTTAAATTAGTA